CACCGCTAGTAGATTGGAGGCCATTGCTTCTAGGTTGAAGGCCATCGCTGGTAGATCTCTTCTAGGCTTTTCAGATACAGGGTTTGTGTATATATACTTTTGTGCCATTCCGTTTCAACAAAAAACCTCCTAAAAATCATTGTTGATAGATTTTGGCTATAAAACACCGCTCCTGCGCAGGAAAATAAACTTAGCATGCCCCAAAAGTGGCGCATTCTAAGTTCTAGGGGTGTTTTGAAAAAAAAAGGTAAAAAAAACCATTTTTTCAGCGGCCCAAACAACTGAGAAGCAGTGCAACACAACCATCATTTGCAAACAAGTGCGACTGGGGCTTTGGATTTTTGGAATGCCTCTGGGCAAAACTTGCGTGTTTTCAAAAACAGTAGGCAAACTTAGAATCACCAGTCAGTGGCTACTTGAAATAACTATGTTTTGAGTTGGTTCCTTTCATTTCCCTTGACTTTGGTCGATGTTTTGAAGAGCAAAGAAAGGAAACCGAAAGGAACATGAAAACAACATGGAGTGAAATGAAAAGAAACTCAAATAAATTCAAGAATCATTTCTTTCACTCTTAAAGCACTATTTTAGGCCATTCCTTTTAGGTTGGAGGCCATCGCTAGTAGACTGCAGGCCATCTCTTCTAGGTTGGGGGCCATTGCTTCTAGGTTGGAGGCCATCTCTTCTAGGTTGGAGGCCACCGCTAGTAGATTGGAGGCCATTGCTTCTAGGTTGAAGGCCATCGCTAGTAGATTGAAGGCCATCTCTTCTAGGTTGGAGGCCACCGCTAGTAGATTGGAGGCCATTGCTTCTAGGTTGAAGGCCATCGCTGGTAGATCTCTTCTAGGTTTTTCAGATACAGGGTTTGTGTGTATATATATATATATGTGTAGTATATACATATAGCGAAGGTGCCATATAGTGGTATATGCATGCTAATTCAAAACAGCCCGTAAACTTAGAAGGTGCGCAGCAGGACCCCCCCTTCTAAATTTATCTACTGTTTTGAAGTGCCGAAAATGCTACCTTCTAAGTTCCGGGCCGTCGTTATATATGTATATGAATTGTTTTATAGTTCAAGTCGAAGTGGCGGAATTTAGGTACTTGCTTTCAACCTAGATTTATGATTATATATTTATTTGAGTTAGGAAGCCTTGGAAGCCAAGCTGCTAACTTTTTTCCTGTCATTTATATACATCCGACATTGCTGGCTCAGGTTTTGGTGCGGTCAAACCGATCAGAATTGCTGACTTCGTTTTGTGGAGGCAACCTGATGCAGTTCTGATTACAATAGCGTAGGTTGACAGGCAGATTACGACCAAGGCAGGTTTTCACGTCACAAACTGGAAAGACATACATTAAATCATTAAAGTTTAAGGTGTTTTCCTTTTCCGATGCAAAAGCTGCACCAAAGCACAGCAACAAAGGCTTTGGGTGCAAAACTTGCTCGACTTATTTCTGGTGTCAGGTCGGGAGGACTTGCTGGAGCAGATGTGGGAGGAGGGATTCGGAGGGATCGATTCGGTATGGCATTACTTTATTTTTGTTTGATTTTGGGATTCATGCTTTTTCTTCAGACTGCTTGACTGATAGCAATTCTGTATGCAGATGCGCGGAGCCTCCCTTGTCCTTGGTCAGCACGGCGGCGCACTGGCGAATATCCTTTTTGCCCCTCAGGATGCAGGTCCGAGCTCCGAGGGCATTTGTTCTCTTGTCACCAAGTGTGTGGCCTGGCCCCTCAACGATTCAGTTTGTGCTATAGCTAGTACGGTAAGCCAAACAGATGCAGAGCAGCAGCATACCGTCCCGCGTTTTGAAGGATGTGTTGAAGGGGATAGATCTTTCCCGCCGTTGTTTGCTCATTAGTGCCAGGTGACTAGGACTCTAGGAGAACACTTTGTCGCGCTGATTGTTGAGTTGCAATGACACAGGCTTAATGGATGTACATGGATGTAGAAACTGTGGGTCGGTGTCATATTCTTTTCCACCCACCAATACACAACAGGGCATCCGATAAAAGTTCCGATAAATACATTGAAGCGTTGTTTGCACTTTTGAGAAGGTGACGAGTTCAAATCTGAGAGGCATCGTGGAATTTGTCGGAAGCCCTGCTGCCCACAAAGGTTTGCCAGGACTGCATGGGTTGGCAGACTCTAATTAGCATCGTTTCTCATTGTTTACCTGGACCTTTGGAGATGTAGGTCATCGAACACACGATCTGTGTAATTGACTACAATATATGCATGGGAATAAGAAGTGCTCAGGTTGTTTTACATATTGTTTAATGTTGTGCATGTTGGGTGAGTCTTGCACATCCTCAAGTGAACAAGGAGAGTGAGTGGATGGTTTTGATACGTGTTCATTATTTGGGTGAGGGCGACACATATACAATCGTATATATATAATATATACACATGTAGATATATATATACAATAGAGAGAGTTGGTCGTCATGTTCGATTGAGTCGTGGGCACTGAGTGGCTCTATACAAATTGTAATCATGGAAGTGGAAAAAAATGGACAAACCACCTGTTTGTAGAGAAAAAAGGTCAGCCAAGGTTCCATCCGTGGAGTGTTTACCCCCCACGCACACACACACACACACCCATAGACGAAAACACATCTCACGCTCACCAGGAGTGTGGCCACCCTATAAGAGCAACTTGACTAGAACAATTGATCACGGAAAGACAAGCACACTGTTGGAATTGCCCTCGCGGAGAAGTCCAAGTGTCAATCAAGTGTGGATTCAGATGTCGGAGATCCTTGCAAGGTTATTGGTATGGAGGAGCTGGTGCGGCTTTCAAGTTCTTCCGAGTGACTTGGAAGAAGTCTCCTAATACTGTAGTATGCTCCCCTTTTCTGTCAAGAATCTCCTCACAGCATGTGAATGCTGGAAAAAGCACACCAGAGCACACATTAGCCCCCAACATTTGGACAGACATGATTTTTTTTTGAAGCCATGCTAGCTAGTGTCAATGAGAACACGGTTTCTAAAGAGAGCTTGACAGCCCTGCCATCCAAGCCCCCTCTGAATGGAATGCCAACAGCATTCTCATTCATTGATAACCATGTTGCTAGTGAAGGGTGCTGTGAGACTGTGAGATGGCTTGGGGAGCGGGAACTTTCCAGGATGAACAAGGGGGTGTGAACATTAGTGAAAAAGAAAGAATTCCTTAGCAGTTTGCTAGGCTAAGAACATATCTATCCAACAGCTTCCCACGAGTAGTGTCAACGGATCATACCCTAACTTTTGGAAGCGACACCTTTTCAGACGAACACCGTCGCACCGTGCGCCACATTTCAGGTTTTTGCAGACTAGTATCCAGGTGAGGTTTGCTCAGGGTAACTTTCGTGACTTTTATCTTTGTGCCGAAAAAACTTCGCAGGCATGTTTGCCGGTCTCGGTGGAACGGTCCATATGCCGAACGGCATGGCACTGCCATGCACTGCAATGCACTGCCTACGCCCTACGCAGGTCGTTCTGTATGATCTTGACTCCCACGGGGCATGGCAGTTGCGGCTGGAGGACCTGGAAGAGGCGTTGCAGCAGTGGACGGATCACAACACAGGACACAGCCAATCACTTGAGTTTTGAGTCGTGGGCCTGTGCCACCTGTCACAAAAGTATGTAATCTGTGTGTGCCATCCTTTTGTTGCCTCCTTCGTTTTGTGAGCGAGCTAGAGGACATTTGTTAATATATTCGGATGACTTTGCCACCTTTCATTCAAAGTGATTATTCTGGAGCACACTTGAATCATGGCGTGTTAGACACAAACAATAATCATTGCATCAGCCTTTCCACAAATCAACAGCTCGCAACAGGTAGATATAGTAGGCCAACTTCCACAATTCAGGCCTTGGTACAATACTGGTTTGGTGAAAGAGGATTTGTTGGGACAATCACGGTGAGAGAGCTATGGATGCAGGAACTATGAGACCTATGTGACCTTAACTTGCTTCCTTGGCCCCAACTTGCTTCCTATGTTTCCATCTGCAAACGCAGAAGCTGGCAACACCCACAGAGACTGTGCTCGTACAAAAAAAAGACCGACAGGATGGTTCCAGCTACAGACAGCTACATCGGCTGCGTAATTATCATGCCAAGCAGCATGCACTTTTGCCATGAAAGCCACACCTGTATGCACTGCATGTCCCACGTGGAGTTTCAATTGTGGCATGTCCCATTCCTGGCTGTCGCATTGGCTCCAGTGATCATTTTCCCCCGTCTTACCGTACTTACCGTACAGCACTGAATTGTATGGCATCCTGTCCGATGCTCAGTTTCAGTCAGCCGGTTTCAGCTTGCATTTGGAAGACTGCTCAGGACATCCATGTTCTTTGTGCGGCAACCTCACGTTTGGGTGCAATAGTGCAATGCGAACTACTCTAGTATTTTGTTGCATTTGTGGCGCTGCTGCGACAGCATGCAGGGGGCCCAGCCAATCAGTTTCCAACCCAAGTTTGGCCCATGCTGCGCATATCCAAATGATACTCGCACGGCAAGGTGGATTTGGCACAAGCTATCCGCAGGCAGCCCTGGCTTGGGATGCAGCATATGGCAGGGACCTCGTGCAAGTCAAGCATGAAGTGGCCCGAACCCGTGCAAATGCCACGCCGGCAGCCGATGTGGATCTTGAAGTGGTTCATGTAGCTTGCTTGAGATTTGTTGAAGCAGGGCATCAACACCAGGCCAAGAAGAGAAATAGGAACGGCCAATGGGAAAGATGGGACAGAGCCTTTAGCATTTCTGGATTCCCACGATTCTCAACTGGGATCTTGGACCAGTTTGGCACAGACAAGGGGATGGCTTTCACTTACACAAGCTTTCACCTCAGGACCTCAGAGTTGGAGGGGAAAGCTTTGAAATGAAGGTTTTCCCCAAGGCTTCAGACAGGAATTGGGAAGATCGTCTCACGCAGCATCTCATGTAATTATTAAAGACCGATACTAATCAGTCTCACACTATCAGAGCTCCCAACTTTCATGCGTTTAGATACTTTAGTTTAGCCATGTTTAGCCCTTTTCACGGTTTACAGGTTTGGATGTCGTGATTTTGAGCTCTACTCTCCTAGGATGCAATTTCAGCGACCAGCGCCTTTTCGGCAAAACTAGCTCATGCTATGGGAGGCCAATTCTTTCTTGCTTATGTCGTTGCATTTGACATTGGTGCCATCTTATTCAATCTTGTATAAATTAGGTTGGAGGCCATCCCTACTAGGATGGAGGCCATCGCTATTAGGTTGGAGGCCATCGCTGGAGGTGGGTTGGAGGCCATCGCTATTAGGATGGAGGCCATCGCTACTGTA